TCTAGCTGAAATAAATGTGCTTATGAGTCTGGGAAGTTTGTAGAATTGGGCTGGAATGTACAGTGGGAAGCAGATTTTAAATGAAAGAACATGGGCTCCTTCACGTTAGTCTTCTTGGATTGCATATGATTTGAATAAAAACAGTTGTCTCATCAAGAAGTCTTGAGCAGAGCTGAGAAAGGGGTTAGGATTGTTTTGATTTTTAGGAGGAAAAACATCTGCTTTTGATTTGATGCACTGCTCTCTCTCTCCCTCCCAGTGTTTTTACATCTCTTTAAACCACCTCAACACAAGATGACCTGGTCTCCAGTGACTCTCCTCTGTACCCATCTATTTGTTTGACCATTGAAATAAATGGCCCCATAAACTGGCCATGTCTCACATTTGTGTTTATTTATTGAAGCTACTATTTAGACAGCACGTGATTAGAGGATGTGATTTAAGGATGCGGTGAAGTAAGCGAAACAACAGTTGATGGTCAATGTCTCCGGTTATCTGAAGTATGTTTCCTGAGGCGTGTTCTGTGGAACAGCAAAAGCCTTTAAGTTGTTGGGTATATATATATGCCCTTCTTATGCTATAATCTGCCTTTAAGAAACATAGTTCAACGTCAAAAAGACCTAATTAATGAGCATAGAGTTTTATGCTGTAGAAATGTTCATGTATATACTAAAATGCAACATCTGGTGGTTGACCTGTTGTCTATGGCTCTATATCTTGTGTCTTAATTTTTGAAAGAACTATTTATAAGATTTTATTTTTTCTTCATAAAAATCAACAATACTTTTATTTATCAGTATGGGCCAATTTTGTTGCTGGTTCATGACATTGCTCTCTCTATTTGTATATGCATATATGCCTTCTAAAATCATGTTAGGAAGAGCAACACATATTGTTGTAATATGATACAATGAGGTATGCGATCAAGTGCTACCTTGATTCTGAAAGAGAAAATTATAAGAATTCAGAGAAAGAAAAGATCTCTGTGCACTCATTTATTGGGGGAAGGCAGTGAGGAGGAAGCAAGATATGAAATGGAGCTTCAAATGAACAACGTGTGCTTGGACACCGTCTTTAATGGGCCACTAGGGTTCCTACATATCTTGTTAGTAGGCCAACGATGCAAGGCTTGGATTCCTTTTTACCCAGGATGTTTCCCAGGGTTGTGCTTGTAGCAAGCAGCCTTAAGAGATGAATTCATGTATCTTCCATAGCAATCTCAATTACTGAAAACCAAATCAGAAAATGATTAGACTCCTTATAAACTCACTGCCATCAAATTAATACTGACTCTTAGGGGTTCTGAGACTGTAACGGTTTACAGGGGTGGAAAGCCCATTCTTTCTCCTGTGGAGCTGCTGCTGGCTTTGAACTGCCAACCATGCAGATCACAGCCCAAAGCATAACCACTATATCAGCAAGGCTCCATAAACCTCGTTATGGTAGAGTGGACTCCAGTGCCTAAGGACCTTATAGAATAGAATAGAACTTACTCATGGGGTTTCAAAGGCTATAAACCTCTACAGAAGCACACCACTACATCCTTTTCCCACAGAGAGACTGGCAGATGTTGAACTATTGACTTTTAGGTTACAAGTTCAGTGCTTAACCACTATGCCACCAGGGCTCTAAACCAATAGCCTAAATCAATAATACCAATTTGATTACTACTGGCAATAACATATTAGTTCCCTAAACTCAACCTTCTTTCCAGGAGTGCAGCCAACTGTGAACACAGGTATCTAGCCCAGTTTTCCACATTGCCCCCTTGAGACTTTGAGTCAAGGAGAACCAAAGGCAAACGCTATTCTTATGCTGTTTAATAATCTTTTCTTGGACTAGAAATTTCATGTCCTCCACCAGCATCCAGGAAATAGTAACACACCAACTGAGACCTTATAAATAGGGTAAAATTAAAACTGACATTGGGATAAAAGAGTAAAAATATCAACCAAATAAAGTGAGGCTGAACCTGCGTCTTCCGTGCTGATGGTCATGGGTTTTGTAGAACAGTTAAAAAAATAAAACTACACTCACAGATATCGAATTGATGCCAACTCATAGTGGCCCTATTTGGCCGGGTGGAATTATGCCTATGGGTTTCTGAGTCTGTACTTCTTTATGGGAGTAGAAAGCCGAATCTTTCTGCCATGGAGCAATTGACAGTTTTGAACTGCTGACCTTGCAGTTATCAGTTCAACGTGTAAACACTACACTACCAGGCTTAATTAAGTCAGAAATATTGAAAAATAATGGTATGTCTGTGCAAAGAGAGTGGTGATGGGTGGACCTTAAGAATCTTAAATGATATTTAAATCTTAAAAGAAATTTAGATTTGTTAACTAAGCCAAGGCCAGATACAATATCTATCTTATGTGACAATAAAAAAAAATCATATCCCCAAATTCACGAGAGGAAAAGACTAATTGGTGCATAGATCCAAGCCAAGAATAAGAAACTTCTATAACTAAATTGATGTGTAACCAATCACAACTTTCCTTCAGTAGCATGATTCTGAAAGTCATTGAGTCAGTGATAATCTCACAATTCTGAAAGTCAACTGTAAATTGAAGTAACTGTAATTGTAACTGAAAGTAACAGCCAATTCTCAACAGCTTTACTCCAATACTCACTCATGTAAAGTTCTACCAATTTCTAAGCAATTCCCACTCTGACTGTTGTCAGGGTCCTGAAACCTACCACATTGCAAAAACCTATATACGGTCAGCACAGATTTACTTGTTCAGTGTATCTGTGGCCTACAAACACAGGTACCTGCTTACCAAAACCTTCTCCACTCCCAAGTCATATTTTTGCTTCATAAAATGACTTATGAGCAATGAGCTTAGAGCCTAGATTTGATAGGACAAACCTCAATCAGGTAGTAGTGATAGGATCGGTGTTCTAGAAACTGACTCTACAAATTCAGGAAGAAGTTATTCATGATTAAGGTATATTATGTGTGTTAGTACAGGTAGACTAGAGAAACAAATTCATAGACATTCATTTGTGTATAAGAAAGAGCTTTATATACAAGAGCATTTGAATATTGAGAAAACATCCCAGCCCGGTCTAGATCAATCCAGAAATCAGATATTAGCCCATATGTCCTATACCAATCTATAAATTCCTTTGCAGACTCATGAAACACATGTAATGACACTCAATGCAGGAAGATCACAGGCTGGTGGGTGTAAAGTCTTGTGGATCCAGTGGTAGTGTAAGTATCTCAGCATTGGCATCGGGGTCTCCACATGGCTCCTCCAGTTCCAGGGCTCTAGCACAGCTCCTTGTGTCTTGTCCTCAGGAATACAAAGCAGAGAGAGAGCCTGTATCTGGCCTCCAGGGAGATATTTATCTCCTTCGCATCTCCAAATGAGGTCATCAAGCTGCAACCTGGTTGGCAGGTTAGACTCCACCCCTTCTCAAGTTGACAGATTATGTAACTGCCATACCTATGTCCAGTAATATTCTATAAATTCCTCTTCAGACTCATGCAACACATGCAATGACACCAAGTGCAGGACTATTACAGGTCAGTGGGTAGAAAGTCTTGTGGATCCAGTGGTGGTGGAGGCACCTTAGTGCTGGTGTGGGTCTCTACATGGCTTCTCCAGCTCCAAGGCCCTGGCTTCCATCAGCATAGCTCCATGTGGCTTGTCAACAGGAAAGTCTCGCTGGGAGTGAGTGTGTCCTGCCTCCAGTGAGCCATTTATCTCCTTACCGCCACCAAATGAGGTCGCCTCCAAGATGCGACCTGATTGACAGGCTAAACTCCACCCCTTCACTCTTAATAGTCTCAAGTTGACAACAGATTATGTAACTACCACAGACCAACCCTTGTCAACTTGACACTTTCACACTACTCTTTAGCCATATGTAATTTTCAAATAATAGTAATAAAATCATATCTGTACGTAACAGGATAAAACTAAAATGCATACAATTAAAAGATGTGCCACCCTCATTTAAATATAACATTCTATAAGTGAACAAAACAAAAATGTACTATAGTTACGTGAACACCTACACCTTAATCCTATAATCTTATGAATATATTCAGCATCTATGAAAGTTTGTAAGCCAACCACTTCCTGCCTTCATCCTCCCAATTTTGAGTATCCAATTTCTATACTGCCCACTTACATCAACCGAGCTCTGAGGAGACAATCATATTCTTTGATGTGAAGAATCTTTGTTCCAGTTGGAACCTTGTGAAGTCTGCATCCATAAGCAAAGTCAAATCAGGACAGGCCATCCCTAAAGTCAGCAGCAATATGTACCAGTGTACAGGCTCAAAACTCTTGTCTTCATTTGGTCAGGTTCTGTCAACTCAATGTGGGCTACCTCACTTAGCCTCACCAGGGGCCCCATCACAAATTCTCAACAACCCTAACCCCCTTGGGCTAGGTCATGAACTTCAGACCAGTCAACCCGCTCTCATCTTTTCCTCTAGTGTCTGTGAACCAGGTCCATGTGTGTTAGTGGCCAGACTCAACATGTCTTTTTTTTCTGAACTCAACAAAATAAAATTCCAGTTTATTGTTGGACAACATTGCTTCACACATACATCAAACAGGCATATAAATAAATAAATAAATAGCAGCTTCATAGACAAAAAAAAAAAAAGGAAAAAAAAGAAGAAACCTTTATCTTTGGCCTTTTTAACCATCTCATACAAACCAACTACTTACAGTACAGCTAAGTACATACACAAAAACAGTTACTGGACTGCTCAGAATAAGATTGTATTTTGTTGTTGTTGTTTTTGCTTTTTTTACAAGGTTTTTTCTCCTTTGAGATTATAATGAACATGGTCACACCACAAGGAAAGTCAGAAGTAAGACAGAGAACGCTCCAAAGGCTGGTTTGGTCATCCGAGATCATTAAAAATGGCTGACCCCTAACAATACGTACAAAAATATAAAATGTAAATAAAAAATACAAACAAATTTTCCTTTTTAAAGTACAGTACTTTTAAGTAAAGAGGTTTTGGTTCCTTTTGCCTCCCCTGTTGCAAATTCACGGTGTGGTTTTGGTGGGGTGGTGGTGAGCGCGTGTCCGCAGTGGCGCAGCCCCAGGTGGGCGGGCGGGCCTCCTACTCGAAGGTGACCACGTTTAGATTCTGAGATGGGAAGTGAAGGTGAATAGGTCACGGTGGCCGTTGTGTGTTTGTTTTGTTGTTTTAAGTTGAACTTTTCCTTTTGCTGTCTAGTCACCCTCGTCGGTCTTCAGCTTCTTGGTGTCCACATCGTCATCCACATCATCTTCAGCTGCCCGTTTGCCTGTAGCTGCCTCAGCCTCCTCATCCTCTTCTTCTTCTTCACCATCACCTTCCTCGTTTTCATCCTCCTCCTCCCCATGTTCTTCCTCTTCTGCGTCTACCTCTTTGTCAGCCTCCTGTTCACCATTTTCCTCATTAACGTTCCCGTTGGTGGCGGCCTCTCTCCCATTCTCCACCTGCTCCACTGCCTCCTTCTCCTGGAAGTCCTTGGTGGTGACCTCGGCGCTGGGCTCCACGGCCGCGTCTGACATGGTGGGGCTCGCTGGTGACCCGGTACAGCCAGCGGACGACAAAGACAGCGCGAGCTCGGGGACTCTAGCGAGAGAGCTGCCAGAGTCCACAGCGGCAGAGGACCTCAGTGGAGGTGGCTGCTGTGAGCGGAACCCGGGAACAATGCAAAGAAGGCTTTTCAGAGCAGCCAGTGGGGCTCAACCTGTCTTTTTTTATGCTGCATTTCTCCCACTTCCACTCAAAAAGAGGTTCCAGGTAGTCACCTAGCAAGCATTTCAGGCTGCCACAGTCTCCCTTTAATGTTCAGTCCTAGAGAGAAGAGTTTCTTCATGGTTCCAGATTTTTCCAGCCTCAAGCACAAACCACTAGTTCAAAATTTTTTTAAAAACCAAAGGGTTCCTTGTTTGTTTGTTTTCAAACTGTCAACAGTCCCAAGGCAAGTCTCTTCCCCTTCAAATGTCCTGAGCACTCAAGACACTTGGTGGGGTTTATCTTTAAAGAACCTTCTTTGCAGGCCTGTCCTAACCCATTTAAGGATTCAAATTTTAATGCCTGAAGGCAAGGCTTACAAACTCTTTATTTTCATATTTCCCCAAAATTATTTCTATCAATTATTATATCAACAATAATAAGCAGAAGAAATCAGTAGAAACAAAGTAGAATCAGATCCTAAACCCAATCCTTGAAACAGTAAAGTTGAATCCTTATTTAGCTTATCTTAATCCTTATCTAAACTAATTTATTGATACAAAATATGTCATTAGGCCTCTGACTGCATCAAGTCTGGGCCAAGCTTTCTGTCAGCCATTTTGACACTTTGTCAGCTATTTTCACTAAGCAGCACAGTCTCTGAGAAATTCAAGAGGCGATTTTGCAACCCAAACTCAAGATTCATATGTATCACAATCGTTTTCACCATTTCACCCAAGATTAACCAAAGACAATTTCTAAGAACCAAAACTTTAACTTCCCATATTCTTTCCAGAAAACAACTCAGTAAGCTGCATGGCCATATCTGACCTCTGGCTACCCAAAGAAGAGAAACTACCATGAGACTGAGGTCAAAAAAATCCACTCTCCATCTTTATGATTTGTTTCTCTAGTACCCCACTCCCAAGGTACCACAATGTGATAGTCAGAGTAGACTAGAGAAACAAATTCATAGACACTTTATGTGTATAGAAAATAGCTTTCTTTTTTAAAAAATTTGAGCAAGTAATTGTACATTAAGAAAACATCCCAGCCCAGTCCAAATCAAGTCCATATGTCTGATATTAGCCCATATGTCCAGTACTGGTCTGTAAATTCCTCTTCAGGCTCATGCAACACATGTAATGACACCGAATACAGGAAGATCACAGACCAGTGGGTGGAAAATCTTGGGGATCCAGCGGTGGTTGAAGCATGTTAGCGCTGGTGTGGGCTTCCACATGGCTCCTCCAGCTCCAAGGCTCTGGCTACCATCAGCATAGCTCTATTTGGCTTGTCAACAGGAAAGTCTTGCAGGGAGTGAGTGTGTGTCCCATCTCCAGAGAGCTGTTTATCTCCTTAGCACCTCCAAATGAGGTCATCAAGCTGCGACCTGATTGACAGGCTAAACTCCACCCCTTCAATCTTTTTGTTGTTGTTGTTAGAGCACAACTTATATATTTCAAATGGACAAAACATTAGTATCATGTAGTGCCTTAAGATAACTTGCCCTTGAATGGGAGCTTCCTGTCAAGTACTTTGAGGTCTACAAGACGTTATCTAAAAAACGTAATACCATGGAAAATGAAGACTGCTTAAATTGAATGGGGGAGGGGAGGGCCTGTGTTTTTTCTTGGTGATTAAATGCTGTAACACTGTTCTTCTGGCAGCTGAGGGAGTTTCATATTTTCTTTAGACATCATTAGGCGCTGGAGCTCTTGCAGGACAACTTTGATGCTGTAGGACTTCTGCCATTTTGCTAGCACTGATATGGCTCCTGGGTCCACCACTCCATTAGAACTATTAACTCCATTCATATTACTTTTTGTTACAAATCTTACAAAGGGGGTGCTTCTGGGTATTTAGGTCCACATCCTATTTTAAGGCTGTATATCTGGTTTTCATAAATTGTCATTTAGCGGGATTAAACAGCATCAGAGGAGGTTCAAATATATAAATTGAAACTGGTCAAAAAAGAATAGCCACATTTCGGAAAATATACTATTGGTGACCTTTTCTGTGATAAGGCTAATATTTGTTTTAAAGGAAGCACAGTGAATTTTAAGACATGTATAGCCATAGCTCGACGCTTACTCTTGGAGTCCCAATTATCATCCATGTCCATCTTGTAAGTGTCATGTCTTCGTCATCTTCTAGAACCCAGCTAACTGTGCCATCTCCTACTGCTTTCTGGCCTTCTTTGAGTTCTTCCAACAGTTGGAAATTGGGAGGGACTTTTACTCCCAAGCCGATGGTGGCTGCCATCTTGTGTCGCTGTCACTCAAAGGCCCCACCCATTCACTCTTAATAGTCTCAAGTTAACAACAGATTATGTAACTACAACATTATGAAACAAATGGATTTTCTAACTTCTTCTGGTCATACTACTAAAAATGAGGTATTTGGAGCAAATGTTTAGCTGTTGTTCCTTTCTGAAACTGCTGCAATTAAAATACTGGTGCATTAGCATAAGGACACACCCGATAATGAAGAAATTAGAGAAAGTGACCCTGATGATGCAAGTGCTAGTTAGGCTATGTCCCATATTACTGCTGCCTCAGTTACAGATGGGAGTTTATAGAGGAACCTCTTGAAGAACCTATAGATAATGACTCCCATGAAACCACTAATCTTGCTGAACCCACTATAGAGCAGCTTTTTAAAGAATCAGTATGTAGCTAAGTCAGATAAAAGTGAGACATGGACAAAGTCAAGCTGTTACCAAGACCTGCCTCAAGCCTATGGTTAAGGCTAGATGCTAAAACCTTTCTTCATACACTTTTGTGGGTCCCTATGATGAGCATGCTACATGAGAATATTTATGTCAGAAGAGACAAAGTGATGGAAATTTTAAAGAAATACTGCTGGGGATATTTTTCTGAGACAACTGAGCATATGGCCTCTTACTGCTCTATTTACCCTCACTAAGAATCATGTTAAGACTTTACCTGGGCAATGTCTTTGCCTTCTGGAACTATATTTATATAACAATTAGATTTTATCCAACTTCTACCTCTGACCAGCTAGAAATGTGGTTTTAATTATACCTTAATAGAGAAAATATTGATACTGTCAAGGATTTAATCTTGCTTGGATCTACAATTAATGTTCATGGAAGCAGCTGTCAAGAGATCAAACGATGCATTGCCTTCGGATCAACCTGCTGTCCAAGATCTCTTTAGAGTGTTGAAACACAAGGAAGTTACTTTGCGGAGTAAGGTACACCTGACCCAAGCCATGGCATTTTCAATCATTATGTGAAATGGGACGTTGACTAAGAATTAATGGTGTTTGAATTATGGTACTGGTGAAGAATGTTGAAATTTCCATGGACTACTAAAAGAACAAACAAATCCATCTTGAAAGAAGTATAGGCAGAGTGCTTCTTCGAGGCAAGGAGGGCGAGGCTTCGTCTCACATGCTGTGGACACGTTGTCATGAGAGACCAGTCCCTAGAGCAGGACATCATGCTCAGTAAAGTAGAGGCGCCGGGAAAAAGAGGAAGGCCTCGCCTCAATAAGGTGTGTTCAACGGCTGCAACAAGGGGCTCAAAGAGAGGAACAAGTGTGCAGTTGGTGCAGGACCTGGCGGTGCTTCGTTCTGTTGTACATCGGGTTGCTTTGGGTCAGCACCAACTGGATGGAACCTAAGCCAACAACAACAATTATAAAAGAATGTGCTTTATCCTCATTCTTTCTTTTTTTAATATTACTTTAATTAAACTTTCTCCATTGTAAGTGTTCTTATTCTGTTTATTATCACCATCACTGAGGTTTGCAACAAAAATGCTTTTATCATGGTAACCCAGTGCCAGCAATTTGACTGAATAAAGGGTATGTCTTCAGTCTACCCAGAATCACACAGATCTGCTTGCCAATCCAGTCTGAGGTTATACATTCTGACACATACTCACTGCCATTCAGTCAATTCCATCTCCCAGCAACCCTATAGGACCGAACAGAACTGTGCCCATGGATTTCTAAGACTGTGACTCTTTACAGGAAATGCTAGGCCAATGCACCTTCCATACTCTTGGACTTCTAGTGAGTACACTTTGATACAATGAGAGCTTACTATCAAAAGTGACTTGAAATTAATATCTGTCCCAAAGTGAGAATTCATCCTATCAAATAATCCCATTGTTATGAACCTGAGTAGGGCTGGGCATTGATTTGAGTTCTGGTTCCCTTCCTTGGTATATTACAATTAAAGCAATTTCTTTGCAATATGTCTATTATGCTGGTCCAAATTGCTGATAGAATGAAAGCTCAACAAAAATGACTAAAATCACTTTGGAAAGTTTTCATTGATAACAAGGTTGCTCCTGATTTTCTTCTAACTCAGCCAGAAGAAGTTTGTGCTTTTGCTAATACATCTGTCCGTTCATGAACAAATGCCTCCAGAGCAGTATAGCAAAATGTCTGCATAATATGTTAGGAGGCCTTATGGTTTCATACCCTTGCTTCCATGACTATTCTTCCCTACTTTTCTTCTTTGACATTTATATCTGGTTCCCCAAAAACATCAGATCTGAGATACACTCCTTCCTGCTGACCTGCCTAACCTTTTAGTTATTGTGAATGTTATTATAGGCCTTGCTAAACATATTATATAATGTATTTTTATTGCCATAAAAACATTCAAGACATCTTCCAGGCAATGAGTTACATATTTAAGAGAAAGTATTTTTTCAAAATCTCAAAAAGCCTGCAGTTAGAAAGTCAAAAGAGAAAACACACAGCATATTTCTAGCTCAAAGAACTGAGGAAAACAATGTAAGTCTCTGGTTGTAATATTGAAGGACTCTATAGGCAAATATTGAAGGATGCAG